CATCTTCCCCCGTCCAATGGGATTTTGCGGCGGATCCTAGCACGAGAAACGGCTCGTCTTTCACCACTACAGTCCTGCGCAGTGCACGTTTGGCCTCCCTGGAACCGCGTTTTGTTGCCGTCGGGATTGACGTGGATGACGCGGAGTTCGCTGATGATGCGGCTTCTTCATCCCAACCTCCACTACCGGCCGGCCCTTTAACCGTCCCCTATGGCTTCATCTTGGACAACGTTGACAGTGCATTAGTAGTCGGCAAACTGGAGGTTCGTATTCTCTTTCATGCATTCACTAGTTTATCTCAAAATATAATTTTCTTACATAACATGGTCGGTCAAGAGCGTGAAATGACGACAAAGATGGCTAGTGCTTCTCTCTCGATTTTACCATAGTTCTTCTCAGCAGGGGTCAGCGTTCGGGTTGCGTGCATGATCGCCTTTTCGGACCCGTCGAGAAAAGTATGCGAAATATCGGCTTCAGCGCCATGATTGGAGACGTCTGCACCAACGACGATCGGCGGTCGGGTCATAGTGCGTGAGCAGCAAATCTGAACTCAGCATCAATTTCAGTTGGACAAAAGCCTTTTCACAGTCGGAGGACCAGCACCAGGGAACATCTTTCTGCAGCAAACGGTTAAGCGGGGCTTGTAAGTCATGCGGTGATTGTAGGAAGGCGCTATAATAGAGGCCAAAGAACACTCGAAGTTGTGATAAATCCGTAGTTGTAGGCACCCGTTGTATGGCACGCATTTTTTCGGTGTCTGGATGGCAACCATTGACATCAAAGATGAATCCAAGGTACTTGATCTACTCGAGGAAAAAGTGAAACTTGTCGGCCCGCAATTAGAAACCAGCTAAGGAAATATACTTTCCTTTTCTTCTATGTTTATGCACATTGGATTAAATTGTATGTCGACATAACCTAACCGGTCTTTCAACTAGTGTCTGCACTGATAGTATTGTTAATAGTACAACTGACGAGCGGACAGGTTAGAATCGAGCAAGAGAATTCAACATACCTCACTTAACGAAGTACAAAACAGGCCTGTGGCCTACTTACGATGGGTATTGACAGTGAAACATTTGTCTGCATCTGTTTTTTTAGTACATTAACGGGCTTTCTATGTTTCATGTGTTTCTTGAAAGGAGCTGGGATCTAGGTACGTCCATAACCTTATAATGTGCTTTGTCCTCTTCTCTGTAGAATTTGTTCTATTTGTCAGTCGTTGTCGATATTTGAGACCCTGTTCGGATACTTCCAATCAAATAAACACGGTCGACTAGGCGCACGAGTAAACAAAGTTGATA